TCTGGGAAATCGATTTGCGTTTGAAAAATTTTTTCGAAATCTATCTTCCAGTAGAATAGGTAGAATAGACGCGTTGCGAATAAAAAAGCGTTCCTTCGTGCAATATTGTACACAATTACCTGGTAGCAAGAATGACGTCAAATGACGTGTTAATTCCGTCTTAATGACGTCTTTAACGTCAATAAAACGTCATCTTGCTACCTGGATACTCGCATCGATAAAATAAATATTAATTGTGTAACATAGGAGATCTGACTTAACAAATAATCGTAGCAAAAAGTTTGTTTTAGGGAAAAAAGTGTATTCTCCTATAATAGAAACATTGTTTGCTTCAATACTCACTCTCATATATGTTGACGGACAGGCAATCGAAAGTGGAATTAATTATTTCCCTAAGAATATGCAAGTTCGATCGATGAAAAAATAATTCTCCGTTCCGTCCTTCGGTCGACTGTAACAAAGGAGAAACGAGTAATTAATGCTTTACTCGGAAGATAAATATCACTCGGTGAATTAAGAAGTCATTTATCGTTCGCGGTCATTAGAATCGTCTTGACGCACGTATACATAAAAACCTCGATTAGTTGGTAACATTTTCTACCGAATGCAATAAAACGGTTGCCAAGACGATTAGCGGGACGGGAAAGGAATTTCCCAGGTAGCAAGATAATGTCTAAAGACGTCTTAATGACGTTAGAGACGTCATTAATATGACGGAATTAATACGTCATTTGACGTCACTCTGCTACTTGGGGTGAGGGCGAGATGAAAATCCGCGAGACCTGTAGAGAATACAAAAGAATGAGAGACCGTGACAAAATCTTTCAATCTCGCGAACTAACCTTTCGCCTTCCGGCCGGAGATTCTCCGAGGCGGAGACGGAGAGCCGCAGCCGCAGCCGCGGAACGCGAGAGATTCAAATTTCGGAGCGGCACTGTCGCGCGCCCGGCGTTTGTTTACGTACTCAACCTGACCCAACCTAGCCTGACTTCACGCTGGTTACTCCGGCTAGGGACGCGCATGCGCCGCGCGTCGCCGCGCCGCGCCGCGCCACGCCGCGCACCCACGCCTGCCACGCTATTCAACAGGAGCGCTCGGCGGAGCCGCGCGACGTTCGTGCGTGGTGTGCGGTGTGCGTGCATTGTGATCTTCGCGTTACGTTAACGTGACCGCGGCGGTGATTCGGCGGCACGCGAGACGGCGAGACGGCGTACGCGCGCAAGAGGAGAAAAGGCTCGTCGCGCGCACGCGAGTCGGACGGACTCTCGAACCGCGCCCTCCGCCCCGGACCGTGAGTCATGGCTGGTATCGTACCGCTGTCTGGTAGATCCGGCAGAAAACAGTGGACGCTACACGGTAATCATCGCCGAGGTCGCGCGACTCACGGAGGAGCGCGTACGCCGGGGACCGCCCGGGCGACGGCGTTATCGACCTCGCGTTTCGTAGGCGCGCGCACGTGGCTCGCGATGAAAACGGCGCGACATTCGACGCGTTCCAATACCTGTCTGTCGAACAGACGAGGGTGAATCGTCGAACGGGGAAATGATGGAGATTATAATCTCCGACAGGTCCCCGCACCGCGTCGCGAATTTCATTAAAAGAATCGCTAATTGACTTCTTGTTGAAAATTATCATTCTCTTGTTCTAACAATCTTGCAGTATTGAAAAAAAAAAAAAATAATAAATAAATAAACAGTTATTAATTGGCAATTGATATGTAATTATCATTAACGAAATTGGAACAATTTGAATAAATTAGATTGAAAATAATTAGAACAAGAATAATAGAATAATAATGTTTATATATTTATATCAATCTTTATTACTTCAGCTTATATTATACCAAGAAATAGAAATAATATATATAATAATAATAAATTCATAATAACAGAAATTGTACGTAATAATAGAATATATCATTATATTTATGTGTCGCTGGCAATGAAAGCGATACGTGAAGCTCTCTATTTATAAACTGTCAGCTTGTATGTCTCATGTGTATATATATGATATATGTGTTGATATAAAGGACATGAATTCTGATTAGTCTTTTTTTTCTGATTAAATAGCTAATTCTAAGTCCTATTGATAGATGGACCTAAAGGGTCTCTTAGACGGTTACGTTCCCGATTGGCAGAAGACGGCTGTCCGGAATCTCAAGTAATTTTGGCTAAGCAGTTGTTAGAGGAACAATGTGGTAAGTTGAAGTATACGCCTGGCAACAAAGTTTCCCCCACGTTGTTCCA